GTTATGCAAGCTTGAAGTGTGTCAAATCTTGTATACATTAGCTTGCAGCTGGGTATTTGCTAGTCGCGCATGCCCCAGCAAAGCTAGCTTCTTCTATTTTTTCATTTTTCAAATTGCGTAATTTTCATTAGTTTGCTGCATTTGCCGACAAATTAAGAGCTGCTGCCGCTGCTGCCTCTGCTGTCCCACTCAAACCCACTCGACTCTGTCACTCTGCCCCCCTCCAGCTGCCGAAGGTCCATTTAGCTAGCTGCAGTCCAAAGTGCGTAGCTGCAGGATACGCATGCAAATAAACGAATGTGAGTGCCGGACGACCCTTGCAGGCAGGCAGCCCGAGCTGGCCTGGGCTGTTGATGTAGTAAATGTATTTGTGTGGTTTTCAATTTTACTTTTTTTTTATTTTTATATTTTTACTGCCTATATATGGACGAGCGTGTATTTTTTTATATTTTATACGCAAATAATTGTGAATCTTTCTCTCTCTCTCTCTGGTATTTTGCGGTGGGTTATTGTTTGGTTTGTTTGGGTTTTTATTTTTTATTTTTAATTAAAAACGGAAGTAAATGTGTATGCAGGGATGCCAGCCAGTCAGCCAGCCAGCCAGCCAGCCAGCCTGGTTGACTTGTCAAGTGCATGCGTATGGGTGCGTGTGCGTGTGTGTGCGTATGTGTATTAGGCGTGTGTATATCGGGCACTTTGGCCATATTGTAGTGTTTTGCTAACAATGCAATTTTCAGCGCATTGTTGCTGCCAGCAACTCCCTTTTGATGGACGCACATCAAATCAAATCCTTAGCTGCGGCAGCATTCGCATTTTCAGACAGTCGCCCGCCCAGTCGCCTGATGAAATGTCAAACGTGTACCCTTTCCGCTGGCCGGGCAAACAGTGTGTAAGGCACTACGGATACGGATGCGGATACACTGGCTGCCGCTTAGAGCTGCGCCCCCACATATGCCTCATGCGCCACGCACAAACTAAACCAAACTCAACAACAATAAAAACATGGCAACAATTCAAAACTGAAGAGTTTTTCAAATAACGAAAAAAAAAAGCTGCGGAAAAGGCAAGCAAAAAAAAAAACGGGAGAAAAAAAATCGAGAAAATTAAAACAAAACAAACAGCTGAACGCATCATCGTCGGCATCAGCAATGGCATCCTCATCAGCCTTTGGCTTTGCCTCTGCTCTGCTCCTCTGCCACGCATGAGGAGATTTTGGTTTGGCTTTTGATTGACGAACTTGGCTGCCTGCCTGCCTGCCTGACTGTTGTTAACGCCCACCACTCACCACCCACCAGCGCCCACCGGCTCCTGATACGCTTTTCACTCAAACTCATCAACGTCAGCGACGCATTCAAATCGTTTTGATGGACTGCCGCACTGCCACAGCCTTTATCCGGCCCCCCACCCCAGCTGCCATATGCAACGCATCCTGGCACAAAAAAAATATGTTGAAAAAAGCAAGTAAGATTGCTACAGTTGGCAGTGCTTGATTAGCTAATACCCTTTAATTGCATACTCTGGCATAATTCAATATTAATAATCTAGAGCCATAAAGCTTGATCTGCTGTTTGCTGAAAATACATTTGCTCTCCTGCTGCTCTGTTGATAGTTTTTTTATATTACAATTTTTTTAATGGTTATATTTTTCAATCTCTTATTTGCTACTATCGTAGCTCTTTCTATTCAGACTTTTTCTGATCCTTGCTTCTCTTCCTTCAAAATATTTCGAGCTCAATTTCCTCATATTCCAACACCTTTTCCTATTTAAATTTTCTTTTCCTAACTTTTTCATATCCACATTTTCCCTGTTCTTAATTCTTTATATTTTTATTTTTCTCTACCCTTAACTTGTTGCTATTTAAACTTTTTTCTTCCCCCTTTTTCTTATTCATATATTTTTTTTTACCTTTTCGTATTAAACCTTCTTCATATTCCAACTTCTTGAGTTATCTCAAACTTTTCCAATTGAAATTTATTTTTATCGTAAGTCTTTTATATTCACACTTCTTTCGCACTTTTTCCCCAGCCCAACTTCTTTTTATGCGCACCAGTTGCTATTCCAAGTTCTGCTTCTTTCAAGTTCTTGCTAAACCAATTACTTCTCTCTAATATCACTTCTATCTATCCTTACTACTAACTATCCTAACGTTTTTCTAACTTACGTAATTTCGCACTTTTTCGTATTCTAACTTCTTTCTAACATAATTTTCTCTCTTACTCTGCTTGAGTTTGTTTATTTTTTATGAGATTTCTTGAGATCCATTTGTTATCCATTTGTGTGCTTATATTAAAGTCAAAGCATTTCATATCCAATGAGCTTGGGTAGTTAATGCTTAAATATAATACTTCTAGACTTCACAAGTATCTATAAATAAAATGTAATATATTTAGTATTTATAGTTCTCGAGTTATGTGAAAAAGTAATCTGTAGAAATATGTATAATTATAATTGATATTTAGAATTTGAGCCAATAAGATAAGCTTAACAGCAAAAAGAGATTTTCTTATACTGTATATGATATTCGTTTATAAATATTATTAATTATTATTATTATTATTAATTATTATTATTATTATTAATTATTATTATTATTATTAATTATTATTATTATTATTAATTATTATTATTATTATTAATTATTATTATTATTACTAATTATTATTATTATTAATATTATTAATTATTATTATTATTATTACTATTAATCTATCTATCTGTATATCAAATTTTGAATACATAAACCTTATATATATTATAGTCAAATCATTAGAGCTCGTTGTCTTATTTGAGTTCAAAGCTGTTTCTTTTTGTTGAACAAACTTTGTTGAACAAACAGAAATGTATATGCCCTGTTTGCCTCTCTTTACAAATGGATTTAGGGTATTGAAAAAAAAAATTACACAAAACCTTTGCACAATATTTGTATTTTACGCAATTTTTACTGACTGTCGTTGGTCGTTCGTCGTTCGTCGACTGACTGCTGCCTGATTTGCAAGCCGATTTGCAACATTGTTCATGTCAGTCGAAGTGCATTGTTAATAATCAGGCTATGTGCGTGTGCGTGTGTGTGAGCACTAAGTTCTATTAGCTGGGCACTTGTTTGCTTAGCCATTGTCTTTGCCCAGCAGGCTCTGTGCGACAATAATTGTGGCATTAAAATCTGAGCGAAAAGCCTCGGCACTAATTAAACGAAAAATGTCTTTTGTCTCTGACAGTAGGGGCAATCAGATGCCATACTCAAATTCAAAATGCACTCAAAATGTGTTAAGGAAAAGTTAAATCAGTTTTATTGCGCATACGCCCCGCTGGCCATATTGTTGGCACCCTCTGGGCAGAGCCTGTCAGAGCCTGGCGCTTGCAACGCTTAACACTTTCCACTGCAACGCCTTTTCACAGTTAATTTGCCATCAAATATGCCAGCAACAACAGCCGCCAGCTGCTGATGGAATGAAACTCGTCGCTCGTTGTCGCAATTAAATTACCAAGCAGCCAGCAGCCAGCATCCAGCAAGTGGCACAGACGCCACGCCCATAAACTGTTGCCAAAAAGTTTTTAAGCTGCCAAAACTTGAGCTAACCGAGAGAGCAGAGTACAGAGAGTGAATCTGTTTTCACACCAGAAACTTTTGCCACAACTTTTCGTGAGCCGTTCCACTTGTTTCCGCTTTTATTTCATTTTCTGCTTCTTCTTCTTCAGCCACTTTTGGCATATTTTCTCACATAATCTGGCATGTAAATGATATATAACCACAAAGTTGTGCATACTTTGCATTCGCCAGCTAACTCTGCTCGACTAACAGCCACTTGTTGCCGTTGAATTTGGGCTGTTCCGGCTTAATCTGATTGAAAATTAACTTCATTAATGCAAACTATCAAATTTTGAGTTATTTAAGATGCTAAAGCTGCAGACCGAAACCGTTGAATAGCACTGATGCCTCGATGCCTCTTGGCGTGCTATGAAGTTGTGTGAACACATTATAAATAGGCTTATTATCATAGATAACTTTGTATGAGCTATTAACCAGTTAGCTTAAAAGCTATATAAATAACACTGAATTAACCAAAATGTTAATCAATTTTTTTTATTTTTTCTTTTTTTTTTTTATGCGCGCTTAAGAAGTGAAATGGGCATATGGGTTCTGCTTATGCTGTCTATGCGCCTGCGCTAGATTTTGAAGCTGGAGATTTGATATTTGTGTAGTCTTTGTTAGTCTAGACTTATCAAATGTTAATGCTGTTAAGTTGTGGGCGTGGCAAATCGAGAATTAGTTATAACCGAAATTACATATTTTAAGCTGCTTGACTCTTGCCTATAATAAATATATAATAGAGCTATCAATATAAATCTTTAAAAAATCGTAATAAATTCAAATCTTAATAAAGAATATATTTTAAAAATATCCACGCCCTATGTGTGGCTTAGCGAGTCAGCTGCAGCTGTATCTGCTTGAATAAATATTTCCCACAGTTGTTGAGCTAGAAACTCAAAGCTAAACGACTAAGTTACTGTAGATCTGCTCAAATTATTTAACAAAAATTATATATATGTGATATCAAGACTTTGTAGCTTGTATATTGAGTACGCCAAATGTGGGCGTGGCAAAACTTAAAAAAAAAACACTTTTTCTTGCAGAGTTCTTGAGTTCAAATCATCAAATTTTAGCTGCTGATAGAACTATAAATATTTAAATACATTTAGTTACGCTTAAATATAAATATTTAACTATAAATATTTAAATACATTTAGTTACGCTTAAATATAAATATTTAACCATAAATATTTAAATACATTTATTTACGCTTAAATATAAATATATAACCATAAATATTTAAAAACATTTATTTACGCTTAACTATTTTTGGCAGCTTAAGCGAGCATTATGCCGTCAGTCACACCCGTCCAGCTGCAACATTCTCTCAATAAATCTTTAAATATTTGACATTTTTATAGCTTTTATTAGGTGACTCTATAAATGTATAGCCTAAATACAGCGCTCTGCGTTGGACTTTAGCAGCAAACAGTAAAGAGTCAGATATATATAAACAGCTTACTGTAAATTGAAAAGTTACTTCTACAGCTTTTACTCTTTGTTGCTGCTGCTGTTGTTGTTGTTGTTGTTGTTGTTGTTGTTGTCGCTGATCTGTTGAGTGCGCATAGAGCAAAACAATCCAAGCAAAACGTTCACCTTAAGAAACGCAGCCAGTTGGACTCTCTCCTCAGTTGAAGTTAAAAACCAAGCCGGACAGCATCTTCTGGCCATGTTTCGCTTAATTCTGCTGTTGCTGCCGTTGTTTTGTGCTGCGCATGTGACTGAGCCAAGTCTGTACGGCAGCGGCGACAATGTTAAGGTCTTAAACAATGAAACGCTGGAGCTGGAGCTGCACAGTTCGCCCAACTGCCAACTTGTCCAATTTATCAACTATTTCTGTGGCGATTGCCGACGTTTTGCTGGCACATTTAAGCAGCTCGCCTGGAGGCTGCTGGCCTGGCAGCGCGTACTCTCGATCTACGTGGTGGACTGTGCCCAGGAGCGCAATGTGCGCATCTGTCGAGATTTCGATATACGCAAGACACCCACGCTGCGTCTATATCCGCCGGGCTATCAGCGCACCGAGCAGGATGTGGGCCACGAGCTGGATACTCTGCAGCCGGAGGAAATCTACGCTCAGCTAGCTGCATTTCTGGCCAAGGTGAAGTATGCGTCGCTGGGACAGCCCAATTTTGAGCCACTGTCTGCGCTGGATGATCGGCAGAGCTTGCTAAATGAGTGCAATAACAGCACAAAGTATATAGTGCTAGTCTATCAGCCGCAGAGCTCCGCCTTGGGCAGAGATACCATATTGGGTCTGTTAACTTGGCCAGCTGTCTTTGTGCGCATTCTGAGCGATTCTGCGCTGTTTGGCCACCTCGGTCTCAAGCCAAACAAATTGCTTATTATGGACTGCCTGGGCGGCAGCTTGAGTCTGCAACCGCGCAACGACAGCAGCGTGGCTTATGTGAACAGCGTGGCCGAGTATCTGCAGGCCAAGGGCTATGCCACGCTGATGCCAGCTGCTACGACGCCTGCTCCAGATGTCAGCTCCCATCTTGTAGATGAGGAGCAGGCTGCCATTCTGGCTACTGTTTTGGGAGCTGGCCCAAAGACCTATCGCGCCGACTTGGAGCAGGCCATTGATAAGCTGCTTCACATTGAGCTGCCCAAGGCGCGCGTCTTTGAGGCTGCAGGTCATCTGGCTTTGCGACAGTTGCTCAACGTCTTGCGTCTGTTCAGTCCATTGAATCGCAGTGGAAATGTGTTGCTGGCTCGTCTGCATGAGTTTGTTAATGGCTCCAGTGATGCACTGAGCGGCGCTGCCTTTCAGGCACAGGTGCAGTTGCAGGAGAGCATGCTGCCCAAGGTGTTCAAGGCCAGGCGCTATGTGGGCTGCATTGGCTCGGCTCCAGTGCTGCGTGGCTTCACCTGCTCGCTGTGGACGCTCTTTCACTATCTCACCGTGCAGTCGGCCAGATCGAGTGTGCTGCCCGCGGGCTACGTCTTGGGCGCCATACACGGCTTCGTGAGCCACTTCTTTGGCTGCAAGGATTGTGTGCAGCATTTCCTGGCCATGGCGGACAGACGCAAGCTTTTCTCAGTTGCCACTCGGGATGAGGAAATACTTTGGCTGTGGGCGGCACACAATGAGGTGAATCAACGTTTGGCTGGCGATTCCACGGAGGATCCCCAATTCCCCAAGCTTCAGTTTCCCGATCTCAATGCCTGTCCCAAGTGTCAGCTGCAATCGGCCTCAAACACAACTTGGCAGCTTCAAGAGGTTTTGAAGTTTCTCAAAGATGTTTATGATGCCAAGAACTTGAGCAACTACGGACTACCCACGGCTAATGGCTACGATTAGTAGTTTGATATAGATTCAAATTAAATTGCCTGAAAATGCAACAATAAAAATGAATTTTAATTTTAATAAAAGAATTAATTCTTTATATATGTATATAAAGAAATATATATAAATATATATATATATATATATATATATATATATGTATATTTCTTAAATATATATATATATATATATATATATATATATATATATATATATATATATATATATATATATATATATATGTATATTTCTTAAATATATTTTTTTATGAAGTAGTTCTCATATACTACCAAATAAATTTTGATATCTTTTTATTTGATTTCACATTTACAAACATTTTTATGTAAATTTAAATAAATCTAAAATTTAAAAAAAAAATTTCCCAATTATTTGTTTAAATTTTTATTTAAATCTAAACAATATTTAAGTGTAGATTTGTGTAACTTTTAATATAAAACTAAATATATATATATATATATATATATATTTTTTTTTTTTATTTTTTTTATGAAGTATAAACAGTTCTCATATACTACCAAATAAATTTTGATATCTTTTTATTTGATTTCACATTTACAAATATTTTTATGTAAATTTAAATAAATCTAAAATCTTTAAAAAATGTTTCCCAATAATTGGTTTAAATTTTTATTCAAATCTAAATAATATTTAAATGTAGATCTGTGTAACTATTAATATAAATAATATAAAACTAAATACATATATATATATATATTTCTTATATATATTTTTTATGAAGTATAATCAGTTCTTATATAATCCAAATAAATTTTGATGTCTTTTCATTTGATTTCACATTTACAAACATTTTTATGTAAATTTAAATAAATCTAAAATTTTTAAAAAAATTTTCCCAATTATTTGTTTAAATTTGTATTCAAATCTAAATAATATTTAAATGTAGATTTGTGTAACTTTTAATATAAAACTAAATTGCATCTTCCACCGCTCTTTTTTTGCTAAATTTTTTATTTACGTTGCTTTGATCGCTATTTGGGAACACATTTAAAATCATCTAATCATAAGGCACTCAGAAATTTGTATATAACATATCAATCAGTTGCTGGCATTAAATAAAAGTAAAATATATTAAAAGTATTTTATATTTTTGTTGGGAAAATGCTAGAAAATGCTAAAAACTAGATTGGCTACTTAGTACGAAGCAAAATATGGTCAGTATTGGTTTAATAGAGTATAGAGTAGAGAAGTAGAGTTGTAGAAAGAATATTTGTTTTGTCAATAAGTTATGTTTATTTCATTGATAATGCTTAAGCAAGCATATGATAATGTAGACCAGAATTTTCGACTCGAATGTTGAGGCCTTTGGATTCAAGTGAACTGCGGCAGAGCATTGCGTAATCTATGAGCATTCAATTCATCGTGTCATGAAATTAACACCTGACAATTGGCATAAGTTTTATTTTGTTGTAAGATGAATGTTGCTATTTTATAAGCAACTTTAATGAAAGGTATCGAGCGAAATGGTCAGCTCAAGTTGGAGCGATACACATTGAAGCCTCTGCCAAATTTTAATGCAAGTAATTTTCCAAATGAATTATGACAATTTGATAGAGAATCTAAGAGAAGGCCAGCATCCAAAAGAATTTTGAAAATAGATGATGATAGATCGTTGCGTCTGTCAGTTCAGCAAACTGACATACAAAACACGAAAAGAAAATCTTTAAAAAACATGAAAAGAAAATCTTTAAAAATGCAATCTTATTGCGTTAGTAACAGTCGCAGCACTGCCAACTATTTACCTATGCCATGCAAATATATTAAGCCATATATTAGTTGATTCTTATATTATATCGAGGAAGCTTAAACGTTTGCCTGTTTGTCAATTGTCATTGCTAATTGTGCGAAATTGCTTAATTAAGCGTTTAACTTGCATTAAGTGGCGCTTCAAAGTATCGCAATGCAAATGGTCTCCCACTGCCACGCTGCACACACGCACACACGCACACACACGCACTTTATAAGCTCTATTTGTGAGAAGAAAATGGGGGTTTGGGCCGAGCACGTTTAACGGCACATCAATTATTTATAGAACATTTTTGCAAAATATCTACGCACTAATTTGCGTAAAGTAATCGATGTGGTGGAAAAATTTTCACGCATGCACAAATGGGGTTGACCTGAGCTGAGCAGAGCATGGCGCGTTGCACGGGCATAGGTAACGCCCGATATTGGGTTGGGAGCACAAAATGGCCTGAGCGGAAGCTAAAAATTACTAGCTACCCCTACAAAGCAGACACCCACAAGATATGCCAGTGCGTAAATTGGCGACCTGACCCCAGCAGTTGCATTTTTAGCTAAGTACATAATGAAGCTTATGTAAAATATTTAATATATATATAAGTCTTATATATATATATAAATAAAATGCGCACAGTCAAAAGAAGAAGCAAATAATGCATTGGTAGGCAGGGACAGTGTTTATTGATATATATCACACACACGCACACACACACATAGACACCTCGACACACGCACACACGCACACACGCGCCTGCGATGCGTGCGAAAAGTATTGCATAAGCGCGTGGGCAAAATGGCCGCCAACAAGACTTGAGCACAACTGTACGCAATTTTTGTGCGAAAATTGTTGGGGTGGACAATGGTCGTAAATTTTAGAGTAGCACACACACTTACACACACACGCACACGCACAGCTATCTGCGCAGGAAACAGGAAACCAGCGCCCATTTGTAGCAATGCATTTTATCAGTTGGCCGCGGCCAAAATCTGTGCGCCATGCGTAAAATGCGTAAAATTTATAGAGACGAAAAACTAGCCGTGCACGTCTTTCTAATAGCAAACGGATATTGTGGCTTTTGCCCATATGCACTGCTAGATAGCCAAGGCTCTCAGCCAAGGCTCGCCCGGAAGCCAGCTAATTGGGCGCTATTTCATAGGCAGCGAGCGAGAGAGAAGGCCATTTGGATTTGCATAACATAGGTAATTGCTAGAGCGACGGGGGCTTTCACGTACATCACTTCACTTCAGTTATGCATTGCATGCATTAACCAAAAACAATAACCCTTCAGTATAATGCTCAAATTATTGTTTAGGCATTTAAATTGAAATGAAAACAATAAAAGCAACGGCTGAAGCAGCCACTGCACTGTTATAATTATGTAAAAACAGTCTAAAGATTGACTTGACTTCTATGCACAACCCGCACAGAGATTGCTAAAAGCGCATGCGAAGACAACATAAATTTGCGCCGAGTGCTGGAGCTGGGGCTGGAGCAGGGGCTGGAGCGGAGGCACTGTAAGAGAGTGCAACCTGGTAATTATCAATGGCTGAGCGGCAGGCAAAAGTTGGCAACATTGTCTGTCTTGGCTGCTGCCACGCCCGCCCCGGCCTCTCTCCCAGTGGCGGCAGCCTCCAATTGCCCTTAGCCCATCATCCGAAACGAGAACACACGCAAAAAATGTAAAGTGGAAAAAATTTCGTGGCACTTGCTGATGAAAAGGGTTGCAAGCGGATTGGGGCACACAGCTGCGGTTGCAATTGCCTCCAAAACCTGCTCACTGCTCACTCTGCCTCTCCTCCGTCTCCCTCACTCTCTCTGTCGGTATCTCTCTCTCTCTGCCCCACATATGCGAAACAAACCAAACTTTTGCATTTTTTCTATGTAGCTACAATTAAAAAATATATGAAAAATGTTTGTGGATGCTACACGTAGCCAGGGCTGCAGCAAATCTTAAAAACAAGAGTTGCTAGAAGAAAATGTCGATCAAGAGATTTCTTCATTTGAAAATTATTTGGAATTTTAGATAAAGTATGGAGAAAAAAATTAATATGGAAAACTAAGAAAAATACTTTAAAATTAAAAAATTTTTATATTTGATATAAAAAATAAATAAAAATATAATAATTTAAAATTAAAAGAATAAATATTTTCTTATAATGAATTAATTAATAAAAATAAGAAAGACTTAAGCAATTAAAAATATTTATATGGCAATGAAATTCGTTTAAAAAAATAAAATAAATTTAAATAAATATATTAAATGCTTAAAGGAAAACATTTAATATATTTATTTAAATTTATTTTATTTTTTTAAATAATATATAATAAAATAATATATATATATTAATTATATAATAATATATATTAATATATTAAGTATTTCTTATATATAAAAAAAATTAAAATTCAATAAATAAATATTTTATTATATAAAATTAAATTATAAAATTAGAGAAAAAATAATATATATATATATACTATATTAAAATTATATGTAAATATAACAAATTAATTTTAAAAATATAAATAATTTAAACAAAGAAACTAAACTCAAATAAAATAAATTAAAATTAAATAAAAAATAAATAAATTTGATATATAAATTTTGAGAATGAATGAAATATAATATATAAATATATATAAATAATATAAAATATAATTGCAGATAAAAAAATTGAATTGTTGCTTCAGCCCTATTATAGAACACTTAATGTTATGGCTAATGTAGGCAAAGCAAAGTTAACGCAATTTGGCAACAATTTTTTCCCAACAACAACAACAACGTAACACAATAAGCTGAGCAGCAACACACCCACAGCCACCCCCTGCTTCGCCGTGCAACAACAATGCCACAATTTGCGGCAGCGCGTAATTAAAACAATTTAATTTTTGTACAAGTTCGCTGGCTAAACACTCAAACCAAAGTCAGAGCCAAAGCCGCAGCCCGAGCCCTGCCTTCAAATAATAATTTGCTTAGTTTATGAAGTATATACATATATAATCTATGTGGGTGTGCGTGTGTGTGTGTGTGCTACATAAACAGAACATTCAGTTCAGTTCAGTTTCTTTTTTTTGTGTTTAGCGAGTTGCTGCGCACAATTTACTCACTTGGCTGCATTTTAACATATTTTGTTACGTTTTCTGCATTGTTGTTGTTGTTGTTATTATTTTTTCAGTTGGCTGCCATGTTGTTGTTCCTCTTGGCCTTACCTCAAGTTTAATTTGCTTGAGTTTTCATGCAGCCGCGGCAGTCGCTTCTGTTGTGAATT